TATCTATCTATCTATCTATCTATCTATCTATCTATCTATCTATCTATTCTGTTTAATGTATTTTATCTATATATTCTTATATAGCTCTCTACCTAATTTATGACCTCTCTTGGGGCCAACCTCACAGCTTGGCTGTGGGAGATGTTCCAGAGGGCAGGAGCCACAGCAAAAGAAGGCCTTCCTTCTTGGACCCCCTTAGCCGGAATAATCTGGCTGGATAATATGCCTCCTCTGTTGGCATGGATGGGACAGGCTAATCCCTGTGGGGTGAGATGGTTCCTGTCAGGGCTCCGGTCATCATGAGCCTCTAGCCACATCTCTCAACCAACTTGCTTGTCGGAAGGCCACGCTCAGTGACCGCTTGACCCCGGGATAACGGCAACTGTCCTCAGTGCACCCTGGTTGTGTACCCAGGGTCCGGATTTAAAATCCTGAGCATGTGGGAATCCAGTCGTTAAGGGCCAGTCATAAACCCCTCTTTTCAGTGCAGGTGTAGCTTTGAACTTAAACCAACAGTTATAAGTTGAGGACTAGCAGTATTCCACAAGCTATGTTGCAGGCTTGTTATGTTCAACCCTCACTTAATATGCTGAAAATCTTGTGTTTCCTTTAGATTTACCAGTCCTGGCTAGACAAATCTACTCCATACACAACAATCCGATGGGTCGCAACATTGGGTTTAAGTTTTATCTACATGATTAGAGTTTATTTACTGCAGGTAAGGGAAGAAACTTTCCTCTGGAACCCCCGCCAGGAATCCACACGTTGCCAAGTATTGGCAGCCTCCCGTTAGCCCCATTAATGTTTATTATTTTATTTTGGCCAGTTAAAAGATGGATTTCTCTGCCCGTTAGCCCAAAAAACCTATTTAAAGCTGGGGGGAAAAAATTAGCCCAGAAATAATCCACAAAGAATTTTCTTGGTTTATCTCGCTACGGAGAGTTTACTGCCTCTGTCAGCTGGCTTGGAGATGGATTTGTAAATCACACTCATTCTTCATCTGCCATTTATTTTCACCTTGCTTTGTTGGCTGGGGAATTCTGGGAGTTGAAGTCCACGCATTTTCGAGCTGCCAAGGCTGAAAACCACTGCTCTGTGGGTTGTCCCAAATGTCTTTTGTTGCTGTTGTTGTTTTCCAAAAGGCAACTGGGCTTATCTTCTTCTCCCCCCCCCCCCTTTTAAAGGCATAAAACACGTTTCGTTTCTCACCCAGGAAGCTTGAATGAGAAGATAGAACCAAAGGAGCTTCTTGGATGAGAAGCGAAACGTCTTCAAAGAAAAGAAAAACACCTTTTTCCTTTTTTTTGGGAAAAAGTCCCTTTGGGACAACCATGACCTGGATGTTGGAGAATTTCCGTAGACATTTTTCCCTGTTGGTTCTTCTGTTATCTCCTATTCGTTCTGACCCAGCTTCCCAAACCCGACAAACCCTCTGAAGTTAAATCAATGCTTCCTTTATTAGGAGCACCACAGGCTAACAAGTCCATCCAGCTGGGAGATGGTTGTCTGCCACATCTATTCATTGCCTTTTATCTAGCAGTGATGGCTCTTCCGTCCCAAGGACCGGCCCATAGATTTCCACTGCTCTCCTCTCCTCCTCTCCACTGGACCTGGCTGTTCCTTTTCTTTCTCATCAGCCACCTCATTAGCCAACAGACCTGGGGGCTGTTGACACTCCATCTGAAGGCTGATGGATGGACCAGGCTCCCTTCTTCCCTCTCTCTCTTTCTCTCTCTTTTCTCTCTTTCTCCTCTCTCTCTCTGCCAGCTCCATTCCCTCTTCCCCCTCAGAGCCCCCAGGTTATCCTGATGCTGACCCTGACTCTCATGCCTCCTCTTCCTCCTCCAGCGGGCCGACAGGCCACAACACGACTACCCGTTATCCCCCTGTCCTTTTTCATGGGCTCCCGATATTTTGGGAGTACGACTCCTGCAATCCCTTGTTATCAACCATACTGCTTATAGGACTCCTCCTGACTTCTGACTAACCCCCTGTGCGTTGCTAATTATGGTACCCCCAGGGTCTGTAACTTCTGGGTGGTTTCTTTTTTTAAACTTAAGTTCCCCTCTGACCTCCCAGTTCTTGAATCCATCTCTTCTCGTTCCCAGGGTTGGTATATCGTGACGTATGCCTTGGGTATCTACCACCTAAACCTGTTCATAGCTTTCTTGTCGCCAAAGGTCGATCCCTCGCTCATGGAAGATTCAGGTATAATCAAGTGGGGATTTGCTGCCGTTTGCTATAGGGGGGCCGTTGATCTTTAGGGATGGACTGGATTAAATTTAGTTTAGTCTACTTCATTGTCATTGCACATCGTACAAGGAAATTAAATACCATCTTCAGTGAACTGTACAGCAGAATTCAGCAGAGCTCCTGCCCTGGGATAGAAGCTGTTTTTCAGCCTATTTGTCCTTGTTTTTATTATTCTGCGCTGTCTGCCAGATGGTAATAGTTCAAAAAAAAAGGGGTGCCCAGGATGAGATGGATCTTTGAGGATGTTTTGAACTTTCTTAAGGCAGCGGGACTATAAAGCTCTTCCAAAGAGGGGAGAAGGCAACCCATCATCCTCTGGGTAGTGACGTTAACCCTCTGGAGCACTTTCCTATCTGCCCCTGTGCAATTAACAAACCATACAGAGGTGCAGTAAGTTAAGATACTCTCTATGGTGCAGCGGTAGAAGGTCACCAGCAGTTTTTCATTCAGTTGTTGTTTTCTGAGAAGTCTCAAGTAGTATAATCTCTGCTGGGCCCTTTTGACCAGGGCTGCAATGTGGGCACCCCAGGTCAGGTCCTCTTTTAGGGTAACACCCAGAAAAACTTAAAACTGGGTCTCCCTTGATAAGGAAGGGCTGTAGGTCTGATCTGTTCCTTCTATATAGTTCACTATTAGCTCCTTGGTCTTTTTGGTGTTGAGGACCAAGTTATTGTCTCCATTTTTAGAAATCTTGCTCGTTCCTTGACTGGGTGGATTGGGGTATACACCTCATCTAAGGTGATTTTTTTTCCTTTGGCACTGTGTTTAAATACCTTGTGCATACCCCTCTCCTTGGGTTTTAAACCATGGTTTAGTGTCCTGTACAATCATAGCCACTTGTGCTTGATTCTGTAAACCATAGATTACAGGACAATGTACAGGTGTAGTCCTTGACTTACAATCATTTAGTTACAGTGGCGTTGAAAAAAAAGCGACTCATGACCGTTTTTCATACTTAACGACCGTTGCACGGTCACGTGATCGAAGTGCACTTGGCAACTGTCTTGTATTTATGACGGTTGCAATGTCCCACGTTCACAACGACCAATTTTGGCAACCTTTATGACAAGCCAAGCCAACTTAGCAACCGTGTTACTAACCGCTAACCATCGCAGCGTTTTGGTGCTCCGTCGTGGTCGTTAAGTCAAGGACTACCCTTCACGCCCTTTTGAGCGTCGTTCTTTCGAAGCGACACGGACACCCTTTGGGGTCCTGGGAGCTGGGACTAGGCAACGTCGGTTGGGCAAAGCAAGAAAGCCAAAAATCCGAGTCCTGAAAACATCCCTTCGCCTGCCGGAATGGGCTGAGTCAGCAAGCTGCAATTTTTGTTTTTTGTTTTTTTTTAAACCGCTCCTAAATTAGCAAATAATTACTTTTTTTTTTTTTTAGATGAAGGGCCTTCATTACCGACAAAACAGAATGAAGAATTCCGGCCTTTTATCCGGAGGCTGCCAGAATTCAAATTTTGGTGAGTTGGTTTTGAATAAATTGGGTTTTCCTTCCTTCCTTCTCGTCTTTCCTCGTCTGGCATTCCTGCAGAGCAGTTTTTCTCAACCCTGCCAGGGAGTGGAGTGCAATTGTCTCTAGCCGCTAATTTATCTAACAAAATGGAATTCAATGTAGGGAAAAGGAACATCCTACACTTAGGTAAGAAAAGCCAAAAGGACACATATAGATTGGGTGAAACCAGGCTCAATAGCAGGAACTGGGAGAGGGATCTTGGAGTCTTAGTGGACAACCAGCTAAATAGGAGCCAGCCGTGTGCAGCAGCAGCCCAAAAAGCCAATGCAATCCTAAATTGCATTAACAGAGGGATACAGTCAAGATCAATGGAGGGATTAAAACTACTCTATAAAGCCTTAGTAAGGCTACACCTAGAGTACTGTGTCCAGTTTTGGTCACCACACTATAAAAGAGATGTTGAGGCTCTAGAAAAAGTGCAGAGAAGAGCAACCAGGATGATTTTAGGGGACTGGAGACTAAAACATATGAAGAACGGTTGCAGGAACTGGGCTTGGCTAGTCTAGGGAAGAAGAGAAGGACCAGGGGAGACATGATAGAGGTCTTCCAATATTTGAGGGGCTGCCCCAGAGAGGAGGAAGGGGTCAGGCTGTTTTCTAAAGCCCCTGAAGGCCAGACAAGGAAGAATGGATGGAAACTGATCAGGAAGAGATACAACCTGGAAATAAAGGAGAAACTTTCTGACAGAACAATTAATCAATGGAACAGAAGTTTCCTTCGGAAGTTGTGGGAGCTTCATCACTTGAGACCTTCAAGAAGAGATTGGACTGCCATTGGTCAGAAATGGTGTAGGGTCTCTTGCTTGGGTATGGGGGTTGGACTAGATGACCTACAAGGTCCCTTCCAAACTCTGTTAATCTGTTAAATCTCTTAACCCCGATATTGTTTTCTTCCCCAAAGGCATTCTGCCACTAAAGGCATCCTGGTTGCCATGACCTGTACATTCTTTGAGGCTTTCAATGTTCCAGTTTTTTGGCCAATTCTGGTGATGTATTTCATTATGCTGTTCTGCATCACGATGAAGAGGCAAATCAAGGTGAGTGCAGAAGGCTCCAGAGACCAGAATGTCCAACCTTGGGCACTTTTTAAGACTGGTGGACTTCAACTCCCAGAATTCAATCACCAGTAATCATGTGCTGGCTGGGGAATTCTGGGAATTGAAGTCTACCGGTCTTAAAAAGTGGACAAGATTAGACAAGCCTGCTTTGTGACCGTGAAATGGTGGCGGGGTGAGACAGTTGAGATGCTCACCCATTTGGGAGAGGGGCGGGGGGGGAACGGACCGTACTAGCATAGCCCTGGGAAGCAAAATAAATACAACTAACCAGGTTTGGCGCGCTAAAGAAGCACAAATGCTCCTGCCCCGTTTTGAGGAACGGGTGAGATGGATTATATCAAAGTAATAAAATTTATGCTTTCACGCCGAGCAGATTGAGCCGGCTACACCCCCGTTGCCGAAAGGGTGACAGGGGAGACAGTACCCTTGATCCCGAAAAGGTGGCTTGTTTGGAGCTGCTCTTCAAACCGCAGATCGTGGTAACCCCGGTCTGTTAGGTGAGCCCGCGTCCCTAGAGCACGTAAAGCCCAACGATTTGTGGCTTAATTTAAGAGCCTCGTTCGGTGCTCGGAAAACCGTAGCTTAAACGCAGAGGCCTTCAAACTCGACAGCTTTTAAGACTTGTGCATTTCAACTCCCAGAATTCCTCCTCCAGTCCTGTTAGCTCAAGGAATTCTGGGAGTTTTGGAAGTCCCGCAGGTCTTCAACTTGCCAAGGTTGGAGACTCTGGGCTTCATCTTGTCTGATAGATCGGCCTTTGCAGGCGTTTTCTCGCGGTTTGGAAGACGGGGAGGAGGGGGGGAAAAAAATGGAGGCGGCGCCTTTTAAGACCTGTGTTTTTTTGTCGTTCCAGCATATGATAAAATACCGATATATACCGTTCACCCACGGCAAGAGGAGATATAAAGGAAAAGAAGACCCAGGGAAGACTTTTGCTAGCTAGAAACACCCCTCCCCACCCCCCCCAAAAAAACCCCTTGCTGACCAACTGCCCCCAACCCACCCCCAGCGTCATAATTAAAAAGACCGGTTTTGAACCATTGTAACGATGCCTCTGTTCTTGGTAATCAGTCATCCATAAGCGGTCCAGAGGATTCGTTTCCGTCTCTTCTGTGGATTGGAGAGGGGTGTGTGTGTGTGTGTGTGTGTGTGTGTGTGTGTGTGTGTGTGTGTGTGTGGCTGGCTCTTAATGCCTTTCCATGTCCACAGGATAAACATCTTTTGAATTTTGTGGCTCTGGGAACAAACTGCTTTATCCGTCCACGGCTTCTTTCCCCCTTCTCTCTCTCTCTCTCTCTCTCTCTTCCCCTCCCCCCCCCCCTTTGGAAGTTATCACAGGTTTACACATAGGTACGTGTCTCTCTGGGATCTGAGGGCCCTGGGATTTGGGCTTTCCAAATTTGGCTGGCTGTGGCTTCACCAACTTCTGAAGGAGGCCTCCTGCGCGCATTCCAAGCAGAACAAAGTAGGTAGGCGATTCCCCGGTTTCCCCCAAAAATATGACCTACCCTGAAAGTAAGTCCTAGCTTGGGTTTGGTTTTGTTTTTTTTTACACGTGCGCCCAATATAAGCCTTTCTCCCAAAATAAGCCCTAATGAAGATCCCACCCACTCCAGAGTGGACGGGTAAAAATTAAGCTAGGCTGGAGCTTCCCTGCTATTTCCCTTTGGACCGTCGTAGCCAGGCCTCGCACACCCCAACACCTGCCTCGCCAGCCCATTTCTTCTAGGCTTCCCTGGAGGCCTCTGGAGCTGGTACTGATATCAGCTACGATACCGGCTGCAGAGGCTTTCAGGAAAGCCTTGCCGGCCACAGAAGAAGTTCCTCAATGCCTCTGATAGCAAAAAGGAGGCCAAGGGTCACGTGCACAAGTGAGGTTAACTCAGTGGATGAGTTCCCCTGAAAATAAGACCCGGCGCCTTTGGTGGAAAAAATAAAATAAAATAAGAGGGTCTTATATTCAGGGAAACACGGTAGAATCTGAATATTCTTTGGGAGGCCAACAGTTAGTATGGGAAGGAAGAATATTGATAATTTCCCCCCCTCCGCAACTCAATCTGCGCACTGTAGCTTGCTGAAACGAACGAATTGTAATAGAACGGGATGCAGAAAGTGATTAATACCTCTGTGCTAGTTTTAACTTAACTTGGGCATTTCGAATAAAACCTGTCTAGATTGACTGATGGAATCAAGCTTGGCTTTTAGAACGAAGAGGCGTAGGACGGGCTGCGTGGTAATTTTATTTGTTAAGGTTTTTGTTTAGTCATCTGCTTATTTTGTAATTATGCCAATTCTTCCGTGATTTTTTTTTTCTAAATTTTGGAAAAAAATTACGTGTGTGTGTGTGTGTGTGTGTGAGAGAGAGAGAATGACATTAGGTAAAGGGTATTCTGACACATTTCTTTGATAAAGGGTTTTTTTTTAAAAAAAAAAGTTTGCTTCGTTGCCCTTTCCAAGATGCAACTAGATTGGACTGGCAGACTGAACTTTATGGAGCTTTTACCCAAACTTAAATTTTCTATGGAGAGAAATCTAAAACAACCTGCATGTCAAGCATTTTTGATGTGAAATAGCTACGGACAGTTTTATCAAGTGACTTTTTAAATTCCAAAAAAAGTTTATTAAAAGGAAGACCTCATGCCATTCTCGGGTCCAGCCATCTTTATAAAACAAATGTAAAGAGCTATGTATTATGCTTAAAAAGTTTTCTCTCTGCCCTGTTCTCTTAAAATATGTATATTTTAATCTTGTGGCATATATTGTATTTTAGCTGTCTCAATAAAAACAGCCCTTTGCATATTGTTACACACATTATCTTGAAAGACAAATAGCTATTGACTAGTACATTTGGCAGAGTGATAACATACTCAAATATTCTGTGCCAAATAACTCCATTTCTCCTTTGCACCATTTTTTTTTTAAAGGAAGGGGTCGTGTGCGCTCTTTGTGGGAATAGGAAATTCTGCTTCCTTTTAAAGTGGTCTTTTTTTTCCAGCTTGATGACAAGGGACTAAGTGCCATTGCCCCCTCCCCCCATTTAAAAGTAGGATCTTTTGGAAGAAAAAGGCTATTGAAACCAGACAAACACACAATGGATCTTAGGTTGATTCTATGGGTATATGCTCAGCACATTCCAGCATAATTCACCAAGGTGGTGCGGTTTTTCTATTGGGCTTGGCTGTGTTGCAACATCAGGTGTGGCCTTCCAACCACTTCTGAATGTTCAAGATAGCTCCTTAGAGTGCAGGGCAGCATATCACAAGTATCTAGAGAGCTGCACTTTCTTAATACTTGCATTTCCCTCTCAAGCTCCATCCAGCTTTAAAGTGCATTAAAAAAAGTTGGTAATACCAAAAAAAAGACGGACGGACGTGTAAACTTCGTTACCACTGGTTGAATCTGCTATTTTGAGGTTTGCCAAGAGACACTTTAAGAGGTGCTTCAGAGGTGCTGATGGAAGCTTGGCTGGATTTTGAAACCAGCCAAGTCTTGAATAGAATTGAATCCAAAGCACCGTCTAACCTGTTTTACAAGCCCGGCATCCCACAAGAACTAGATTAGGTCTAATCTAGTTATTGACTAAATAACAATAACTAAATCCTTCTGGAGCATTTTAAAAACCAGTCCCACCATAAGTGGGGTGATGCAGTTGTGCGTCAGGTAAGTTGGGAAGCGGGTGGGTAGAGATTGCTATTAATGCCAAAGGTATGCTTAAAAGAAAACCGCGGAATTCGAAATTCACTAGGATGGGTAAAAGTCTTTAGAACTCCAAACTGCTTTTGAGATGACCCTCCTTCCTCACCTCAGAAGCTCTCAGATACAGCTGGACAAGCAGCAGTTTGTTTTAAACTGATACAGATTTGTATCTTCTTGTCGAGGCAGTGAAAGTCAGAATGTTTTGACTTTCCATTCGATCAGGGCAATTTATTTATCAAAATAAAAATCTCATTACACGTTCAAAGCTTGCATTTTCGTTGTCTCTTCGCAGTTTGCATCCATTTACCGGAAGTGTCGAAGATAGATCAGCTTCTGGGACTGAAATTTATCTCTACACAGAGGACACTCAGCCTGTGGGGAAGGAAAAAAAGGATTAGGAAATGTAAACCCTTCAAATTGCTTTAAAAACTCTCCTTGTCTTTAAGGCAGCCTCCTTGCATAAAATAATTCCCTTTTTTTTGACATGATTTAATGTATAAACCAAAGTAGTTCTCAAGTTTCAAGCATTATAAATTTATAAAACTGGTCTTGCAGCCAATTAGTCTGCTCAGAACTACAGATGAACTTTGCAACTTTGAGTTGTAGGTATGGGAGGATCAAAACTGCATGTAAAAAAAAATCACCTATTAATTTTTTTTCCCCTGTAGCAAAGACTTTTTGTTCCTAGAGAATTTCTAATCTCCAAGGAGAAAGCAGAATCTTAACGCCTGTGTATACATGGCTGTAGACATTTACAACAGGAAGAAAAAGCCGCACGCTTTGGGGCAAAGTTTCGGGGAGGCAACACACACCTTGGTGTTACACCACGCAGTAATGCACTCCCAGCAGAAGAGGTGCCCACACGGTGTGGCTGTAGCATGTCGGCGTTCTTCTAAGCACAGCGAGCAGCGCGAATTGCGGCTAAGGATCTTCTCTTCGGGTTGGCTTCTGAAGGAAATGACATTAGACACCATTATTCTACGGCGAGAAAGGCAATTCCAAATCTCTGCAAGAAGTAAGTTTTAGGAAACTACAAATCTCCCTCTGCACAGAATCTACAAACATGGTCATACATAAATATAGCCATTTCTTTGATCTACTTTTTTTTTCCTGGTCTTACAATATTATGTGCTTCGGTCATGTATTTTTACTACTTTAAAACTCAATATTCCATAGGCCGAAAGTCCAGGTTGTGCGCTACGATAAAAAGCCTTATTAGAATAATACATTTTAAAGTAGAATACCTACAAACCTATATTTCTGGGGTGTAGTTTTAAAGTCATTTTTAACTTGATACAGTAGAACCTCTGGTCGTGACCATAATTTGTTCCGTAACTTTGGTCGTACCCTGATTTGGTCATGACCCAAACCTAATTTTAAAAATTTGACGCTTCGAAAAAGAAAAAAAAAATGGCGCAGAAGGGAAAATTGGCTTTGGAAAAAACAAAATTGTGAATTTTTTGGTCGGAACCCGATTTGGTCGTAGTCAGAAGCGTTCATGACCAGAGGTTCTACTGTACCGCTTAACTCCCAGGTGGGAGTTAATTTTAATTTAGTTAAAAGCTAAATTTCAAATGCTGGTGAGGTGCTACTTGTTGATATCAATTCTCTACATTCCCTGGACATTAAAAAAAAAAATAATAATCCAGACTTTATACATCAGATGGGAGAGATTACGGTGTAGCTTCCATTCTTTCCGTGCCCTCTGCCGATGTTGGAAGTTGTACGCGTAGATGCCAAGGGTCAGCCCCAGGTGCAGGAACGAAACGATTCCAAGCAGCCTGTAACTTGATCGAATGCTTTGGTCGTCTTCGGTGGAACCCACAGAGCGTAACTGGAGAGCAGAAAAATCAAGTAAAACCATCGGCGGGAGGTTAATTAATACTTAAATGCTTGAAGAAGGATTTTGTTCCAGGAGCAGCTCTGTCCAAATGTTTTGCGTGTGAGAAAGGCTATCCTTTTTAAAATCACGAGCTGCCTGCAAATAGCGCTGCCTGCAACGCTTTGAGGCGTTGTGGAATATCTCCCGATCAAGGAAATTTTTATTTTTTATTAGAATTTTGTCCCTTTATTATTTTTTAAATAGGCAGCAAACAGACCTAATAGTAGAGTGTTGCGGTGGCCTTAGAGGGGGAGCTCTCGCCTCATAATCAGCAGGCTATGAGTTCAATCCTAGGTAGAGGCAGATATTTCTCTCTGGGAACAATGAGAATATTATCCGCTGAACAAAACTCCTCATTGGCGGCAGGGAAGGGCATCTGGCCATTTAGAACACTCTGCTGGCTCCATTCAGTTGCCCAGTCTCCACCCCGCAAGGAGTCATTAAATGAAGATGATGAAACATACCTAATACTCCTCCGTTCTCATTTCCATACAACCATCACCCTTGTGAGGTGGGTTGAGGCAAAAGAGACTTTCCCAAAGTTACCTAGCTAGCTCTCACCTGTAAAGCGCAACTAGAATTCACAAGTGTCCTGGTTTCTAGACCAGCAAGCACCTTAACCATTACACCAAACATTCCAGGAAAAAAAACAACGATGGCACCATTGACTAAGTTGATTCTCTACGTCTGTGACGGTGCCCAAACTGAGAAACTGGAGCATGTGGGAAGCCACTCACATAGGTGATCCCTGTTGTCCTTTTAGAGAAATGGTAGAAGATGCCCTTCATGTAAAAGACAGCTAAATGCAACCTCTGCAGCAATGGGATGCTTTGCTTGACGATATGAACAGCCTGAGCGAGGAACGTTCTCTGCCCCTCGGTTAATCGCCTGGCTCGTTTCTGCAACCAGCTTCGGAGTAGCGCCCGACTTTGGAACACGCACAGATTCCGGCTGTGCAGAATCTGTAACCCGCTGGAGGCCGCCTCGAGCTCCTGCTCCAACAGGGACAGTCCCTTGTCTAACAAGTAAGGCAAAACAGTGTGCAGAGCGACCAAAACGGCCCGGCGTCTCAACGAAGGGACTTTCCTCTTGGATGGGTCTACTTGGATGACATTGACGTATTCTTCACCAAGGGTTTGATATCCTGAAATGGGGGTGGAAAAAAAAGGCAACCAATGACAGAAACTCCGAAGAGGTGATTACAAATGCAGCAGAAATAAACAGATGGAATCATTTACCTGAAAGGGTAGTGAGGGTGAAATAGGCGACGTCGGCGAGGAGTTCGATCTCTTTCTGCCACCCCAGCCAAAATTTAGCACCTAAGGAGCCAGAATATATGGAATTACACCACAAGAAAAAGCAACACTGTTCCATTTTTACCCGACCGTCATTTGAAAAGGGAGTCAGGTGGCGTATTTCTATCATTAAAATGACTGCCACCATCCCTGCAGAAATATGTATGTATGACTGCATGTAAGAATGGAATGGGATTGGAATGGAATGGAATAGGGTCCCTTCCAGCTCTATTCTGATTGGACTAAATAGAGTAGAGTAGAGTAGGAATGGGAAAGAATAGAATAGAATAGAATAGAATAGAATAGAATAGAATAGAATAGAATAGAATAGAATAGAA